TTTGTGTTTAAATTTTTGCTGGTTTGCCTTCAGGCAAGAACAATGTGAAATAGAAATATATATTACAGCAAGGATTGAAACACATTTAAACGGGAAAAAAAAATGTTTATGAGACAAAGCACTTACTATCTAGGAGGAACCACACAAATGCGTATACAACGTGGGTGTCCTCTGCCTAATTCCCCAGGCCTGAAGGGTAGGCAGATTCCCAGATAAGTAAGTTAGATACAAGCAGAGCTTGCTAAGTACTGGAAGGAGCACAGAGGGAAACGGGGATGAAAAAGGCAACAGAGAGAAACGGGGATGAGAAAGCAGTGGAGCGGATGAGGAAGTCATTTTATCAATGAGAACTATTTTGCCCTGGGTTTGAATGACCAGATCAAATACATAAATAGCCAAGACTATCAGAACCGATGGTATCGAGCTTGGGATGTTTTGTGTTTGTTTTTACTATTTTAGAGTAAACCAGTAAGAAGTGGGAGGGCCTGAAAGGGTGCTGTCTGTTTGGGGTTTTTTAAACCCATGAACCTTTGGTAAATGCTTGCTGGGCGCATCATATTGTGCTGACTACATTCCAGGAGGACATCAAACCTTACTGCAGCCAGATATCCCATCATGAACTCTTCCCTACTTAAAACCATGCTCTTGACTTCACATTGACCTCTTAAGATAGGAACAGACCCCACAAGTTTAGCCCCCTGTCTACCACTGCAGTCTCCTCTTTCACCACTTTGCCCCTTACATCACTCCAGGTGTACCATGTTTCATTCAGTTCCTCCAGCACTCACTCCTCTCCTGCTCTCTGTGGTGTTTGGGTCCACCTACCACTTACCTCTGCCCCAGAATTCATCTGAAGTGTCACTTTCTAAGGGAAGACTTTCCACACCTTCCCTGCCCTCTCTTCCAAAACCCCCTGCACATACATATACACAAACACGGGGACAGCATGGGTTTCCCCGTCACACAAGCCCATAGAATTCTCTTGAGCAATGCCACCCTCCCACACCAAAATATCTGTGACACCACGGCAAAATCCATGTCACGTTTGCTCATAACTGTACCCCTGACATCTAGCACAGAGTTAGTGGATCTTGGTTGGTACTGAATATTTAATACCTGGACAACTGGCTATCATTTATAATCACTCAGTTCATGTCTATGTCTTCCAAGGCTGTACATCTTCCATGTATTCTAAATAGAGACATGAAAATAATCACCAGCCCTAACCGGTGTGGCTCAGTGGATAGAGCGTCGGCCTGCGGACTGAAAGGTCCCAGGTACGATTCCGGTCAAGGGCATGTACCTGGGTTGCGGGCACATCCCCAGTAGGAGATGTGCAGGAGGCAGCTGATCGATGTTTCTCTCTCATCGATGTTTCTAACTCTCTAGCCCTCTCCCTTTCTCTCTCTAAAAAGTCAATAAAATATATTTTTGAAAAAAATCACCAACGCAACATCTACATGCTTTGGATGATGTCTTTAATTTTTGTGATTCACCTATAGATGCAATATTACTTTGGATTTTAGCACTTGGGAGGGAGGGACAACTTCAGAAGCTTTAACAGCCCTATTCATGGTAGAGGGAGCAAGGGAGGATTTTGCCAATTGCTTAAGAGAACGATTCCAGTTATGTACTCAGAAAAATAACCACAAGACTGGACCACCTAGAGGCAGACTCAGATCAAAATTCAATTTATGACCTGAAGTCCAATTTGCTGTTCTGAGAACACCAACAGTGGTATCTGAGCTTCTGGGAATGAGCTACCTCAGCATCAGTGTTTTACAATATCCCAAAACTCCAGTTATTTCCCTTTCCCCATGTAGTTTTGCCATGTGGAATTTTACACCTCCTTTGTATTCTATTCACATATAGATAATACCTGGCATGAAACGGCTGTGTAGCCAGATTCTAGGATGTGTTTGAATCAGCAGGACCTGAAACGCAAACAGTCTATTTTTGTCACAAAGCCAAAACACTTTGGAAACTAAAAATGTTTACGTGAATGTCGACCCCTAAAAGCACGTTATCCTTAGAATGTAATGTGCTTTCCTTATTGCTTGCTACATCACTGGAATGCTTTATCCAAAACAAACAAACAGCAAAATAACCCCATTGCCCAGCCATTCTAAAGAAACCCAGAACAAAGGGTAGGCTAACCAGATGAAGAGCTACATATCTGCAATACATAATAAATGACCACTGATCCTTTGGCAAAGGCTGGGAAGGACATATATTCCACACACAAGGGATATCATTGCACAATCCAGCATCAAGGAATTCTTGATTACAGAACTAACATCTGATAATTATATGAGAATGAGCGACTCCCTGTAATGGTGTAGACCCATGCTTCCCAGTTGTGCCGTGTTTTCCGTAACACAAATGAAGAAGTGCTATCACCTCTCTCAGTTAAGGGAGCTGATGATCAGCCAATCATTACCAAAGACTCCTGCAATTCAGAACGTGCTGACTGATGAGCGTGCCCCCTGCTGATTACAGTAACACCAACTATTTTGCCTCTTGCCTTTCAATGCTACCACTTGGCCTCTGCTGCTCTACATTAGTAGTTTCCTCCTCGTTTCAATCAGGCAAACCATTTCCACTGGAGCATCTGCCTCTAACATCTTCAGCCCACAAAGAACAATAGCACAGAGTCTTTTCAAAACTGCTACCTTCCCCTCACCAGTACATTTCTCAGGAACCCGGTAATGACCTAGGTGTCCTGGGAGGTAAATTAGGTGAAAATGATTTGTATATGATAATACCACCCAGAGTACTTGCTACACTTCTCTCTGTTATTTACAGGATTTTTGGAATCTCAACGTCACTATTTAGAATATAGTCAAGCAAGTGAGCCAAGAATCAGACCCCCTCTAGCCACCTCAGAATGAGACAATTATCACTTTGAAAAATTATCCACGGTCAGTCATTACTTTACTTATCTAAGGTCAGTCATTGTTATTAGTCATCATCATTCTTACATATAGTCCCAAGTTTTGTCATCATAAAATAAAAGGAAAAACTTCTCCACCCAACTTTTACAATGCAATTGATTCTCTTAGGACAGGCCGGCTTCTGGCCAGTGGTTAGAAATCAGGAGACAATGGTAGGTTTGTGGGCTCCAATTGGTGAATTGCTCTCCCTTGCAAAATTAGTCCCTGAGAAAAAGGAATAGTCTCTAAGCAAGAAGAGACCACCCCAAACAAGGAAAGAAATACATCTGAAATCCCAACACAGTGATGTGCTAGCAAGTGTTTAACAATTCACTCTTTTTTTCAAAAATATGTTTATTGATTTTTAGAGAGGGAGGGAAGGAGAGGGAGAAACATCAGTGTGAGAGTGAAACATTGATTGGTTGCCTCCTACACATCCCCCACCAGGGATCAAGCCTACAACCTGGTTATGTGCCCTGACCAGGAATCCAATGTTGACTTTAAGCGACCAACATGACATCACTGAACACAGAGTTGGGAAGAAATAAGTGCAGGTGGCTCTCATAAGACATCAAGAGCCAGCACACCACTGCAGGGAGGGGGTAACTCTTTAAGCATTGTTAGCGTTCCCAAGGTCCAGTCTGTGTCACAATCAAGAATTAGAGAAGAAAAACTTATCACTACTTGATGCTCTCAAAACATCCCAGTATCCCTATCGTCTTCTATTTTATCTGGAAATGACACTGGCCACTTAGTTCCCCGAAGCCTTACCTTGAATAGGCATTTCATTCCAAGGAAGCCTTTCATTCCAGAGATCAGAGGCTGCGTTTAATTAGCTCTCTCACCACAGCTTGTGACGGGCTGCCTGAGTCCGGTTCCTGAAGACAAATGGGATTTCATTGTTTTCAGCCCCACTCTGAAAATCAGCCCACATCCTCACGCCTCGCCCCGCTTTCTCAGGCTCAATTACATTAAACCCAGTCCCAAGTACCATTTTCTGTATCCATGCAGTCTTTAACTCAAAGGAACATAAACCAAATGTATTTTAATTAAGGGATGAAAGACACAGATGGCAAGACTATTGGTTAGCTCACAGAATTATGTGAAACTTGGAAAATCAGACTCGGAGAGTAGGAAGGAACCAAAAGCAATTAGTCGACTGGTAACAGTGCAGAGAAAACATCTAGTTCGGGACACCAGGATGCATTAGCTACCATCACCGCTGTCCCCTGTGAATAATTTCTCCTCTGTGCCCAGGTAGGACAGCCGGCTGCTAAGGCTCATGCCTGGCCCTGGCCGCCTGGTGCAGAAAGATGGAACGTCTGACCTCTTCATCCTTGCACGTGAAGCCCTGCCTCCTGCTAATGGGGAAACCTGAGGGTTGACTGCTAGCAGAAAGAGTGCTCAGATGCTGAATAGTCTGTAACTCTGACCATTGTACTTACTAAGTAGGAATGGTTCACTCTCAGAGCTCAGTTTCAAAGAACGAGGAAGCAGGAAATGGCCCTAGCCGGTTTGACTCAGTGGATAAGGTGTAGGACTGTGGACTGAAGGATCATGTGTTCAATTCCGGTCAAGGGCATATGCATCCGTTGTGGCCTATTCGGGAGGCAACCAATCGATGTTTCTCTCTCTCTCTCTGTCTCTCCCTCTCTATTCCCTCTAAAAAATCAATGTAAATATGTCCTTGGGTGAGGATTAACAAAAGAGAGGGGGTGGGGAGAGAAAAGAGGAAATGAGGAGGAAAGGTGGCAGGAATCTTTGCAGGAATAGCAGAG